CATATGCACAATTCTCCACACAACAATAGCCACATTAGATATGCAAATTCCAAAAATAGTGTCTAACCTCGGACATTATAAACAAACAACAAAACATCAAGACAGTTCCCCCAATCTCAATTTAGGTGTAGTCCAATTGTAGTGTCACTAAGTACCTTCAGCAGTATTGTCATCATTGAACAAGCGTTTCCTACTCTCACCATGCATGACTTTTGGCCCAACTTCTATCGTGTCTTTCGAACCCGCCGCCTGACTCACAATCAAGGTTTCAAGCATTGCTACAAAAAAATAAAAATAAAATAGATGTTAGGAACAAATAATATTTTTTAAAAAAAGATTGCACATACGTACACACTTTCAAAAGTGGCTTCGTAATTCTCGACCAGTTGTTTACTCATTGTGTAGCTTCTTACGTCTACCTCTGTCACCAAATTATTGGGATCCGCCTCTTTAAGCTTTTTGAATGCTGCAATCACATTTTCGTCGATATCTTCAAGCTCTTTGGTGACATAAACCAACTTCTCGAGCCATTTTTATTTTATGTTAACATAAGAACAGTAAGTATTTTTAAAGATATTCATGTGGGCTCATAGTAGAAGTTAACAAATATATTTTTCTTGGACAGAAATAAACAAATTACTATATTCTCAGCTCTTATCGACAAACGTTCATAGCGTTCATCATTCTTTTGCTCTTTTTGGCTTTCAAAAGCCTACGATGTTGACCACCTTTCACGGCTTGCGGAGTCCATAGTCATTAAAGTAGCAGTGATGTTTTTGGTTACGGAAGCCTGAGACTCTTCAAGTCTTTTTAATCTACTATTCTTCTAATTGTTTGGTTTGTCACCAGTTTTGGCTCGTTTAACACCAATTGGGCATTCTAAATCAATCGCAATAGGCCCGTCTAAATCTGACAAACATGGACCTCTTGTGTTCGTATATTGATCAATTTGTCTAGCACCAATACTTGAATCAATAGGGGTCCTTGGGGAAGGTTCATCAACATTACAAGCTGCATTACCAGCTGCAGGAGTTTCCGCAAGCTGTTCCTTTTCAACCTCAGAGCGTCGATTGGATATTTAGCTTTTCTTACCAACAACAAATTCCAACCATTTCAGTTGATCTTTTACGATTTGCCAACATGACTCGAACTTGAAGACTATTTTGTGTTTTTCAAGAAACGTATGTTGACAATAGCTCTCATATGACACAATTACTATTAATATAAATAATTCATACAAAGTTAACAAGTAAAACTTGCAATACCAACAGAGTAGTTATTTACGAAGCCTGCTAGGCTCCAACCGCTACGATACTGTGGTTGTGCTTGGACACGAATAGCAGTTCATTTGGTACATTGCGATCGAATCTCCGTCCATCGGTTCTCACATCCACCGAAAGCCCTCTTATTTTCAAGTTTGCTTACCCCATGTTTTTTCTTCCATTAAAACAACAAAAGTCTCGCATATCCGCTCCCACAATCTTTGTTTCTTTTGGCCGACATCAACCCGAGCATCAGTTGTCACGTTGCACCATGCTCTGTTCAACTTCATATCCTCATCCGTGTTCCAATTTTTATTTGAGCGTTGGTTGTTCTCTACCGACCTACAAAGATTATTGACTTGTGAAGAACCTTGACTGTGTTGGTGGATGGAGTGGGCTAAATAGTGATGCAACAACCTGAGATGATTGAGTTTTGTGGTATAGTGGATGAGATGGAACACCAGACAACATTATATTCCACATGTTTAGGTAAAATAAAGGTTCACTATTTTGAGGATAGTATTGCATTGGTGAAAATGGACAATTGGAACTCATATTTAAATGACTTGGGACGACATGTGGTTGTTGACTTGAGTTGGGACTCAATTGTGTATAGGGGACTATATTGGGAGGTTTTACAGAAGATTTGTTGTTTGATTGGGATTGATCATTTATCTCGTGTACTTCGTCATCTCCATGGCTTTCGTCTTCATCCACCATTGCTCAAATCTATAAAAGAAATAAATTAATTTAATTTCAAATTTTGTGCAACCAATAATGAACATAAAAAGGAAAGATACAAGTACCGAATACTATAATTAGGAAAACTAGATTACACAATCTTGTCAATTTAAATTGCAACATTCAAAAACAAAGGGAACACAGATCTTCAAATTGAAAAATAAAAACACGCCCAAACATTTTTTAGGTTGGGAGATACAACTGTTATGTTCCTCAAAATTCATCAAAGTATCAATAATAATTTGTGAATTATTGTTTTGCTCATAACTGTTCGAGCCAGATTGAACTTACTCTCAAAATAGAAGAATTTGAAAATATAGTAGACACTATATCCATCATATTCAATAGCAGCCTACTATCCCAATCTTAATTTAATTTGCAGTTTCAACCCAAATCGTCAATTTGTTGGAACCCTCAAATTAATTCATTCATAAGCGAGCTCGGTAGACAAATGACTCAAAACCAATATCGTATCAATCGACCAAACAACACACAACCTAGCAGTAAATTGCACACAAAAATTTAACATATCAAAATGAAATGAGAAATACAAAGGACAATTACGGCCGATTCACAGATTCAAAAATAACAAAAAAGGCAACAACAAGTGGCAATCAGAATTAATTTCAGAGGGTTGAATCGTGTTATGTATATTGGAAGATTTAGCGCATAAAATATTTTAAGTAACATTGAGCGCAAGCACGCAAAAACGATAAACCCTCAATATTAAGATCGAGTTCTTGGAGTTTATAAGAACATACATATTTTACTTTCAACAACGAGGATGACGAGAGAGCCGGCGATGAAGACGATTGCTGGCCACAAGATGATCCCAATGGCGACGATTGCAACAACGGCGTCCGATGAAGAGGAACAAAATCGTTCTTCCAGAGAAATCACTTTCAAGGGAGGAGAAAAGAGAAATGAGAGGGAAAAAATATATATATAATGGATTAGCCCTCTATTGGTCCAAGCTGGGTGGGAGAGGCATAGACAAAATAGGCTCGATTTAATACCTTTGTGTGATTTATTTATTTATTAATTTATTTATTTTTTGCAAAACCAGCCTCGGTGCAAGGAAAGAGGGAGTCGGAACTTGTATTATTGATGCTGCTCTTAGTGATATTTATTGTAAATAAGTGCTGAATGAAATATAATAATTAAATAATGACTTTTTGATTTTTACAAATATAGTATTGAAGTAAATTTAATGGATGAATAATAAAAGGAAAATGAAAATAAATTTGGCGGACCGAGGGAGTAATATAAATTGATAATTTCTTATTATAAATAAATTATATATAAATTTAGTAAATATTATAAATAATAATAAAAAAACTCAACATAATTTTCTTTTTAAAAAACACATTATTTAAAAAAATGACAGCTATTGATTAGGTCAAATCAGTATAGAGACATATTATACACAACATAATATTTTTATAATATTTATTATAACACAACATATATTTTGTTATAATACAACATATATTGTGCTATGTAAGAATATATATATTGTATATTTTTTTTATTATATATGTTGATTGCCTAATTTTTTTTATACAAATTTTAGTAACTAATACTTCCTCCGTCTCATTTTTTTCGTCCATTATTCCTATTTCGGTCCGTCCCACCTTATTTGTCATTTTTTTTATAAATATAATTATATACTTTAATCAAATTTTAAATTTCATAACTTATTAATTTTTTAATCTTAATCTATAATTAATTTTATTATACAATGACTATTTTTACTAATATATTTTTTTAATTATTTACTAATTATACTTTACTTAAATTTCTGTACTTACGATAAATCGGACGCAAAAAGTAGAATTGAGAGAGTATTATAATTTAAATGGATAGCCAAAAGAATATGTAATTGAATTACACTTAAAATAATACTCCTTTCCTCCCACATAATTTGTTCTTATTTTCTATTTTTCGTCCTTCCCACATAATTTGTCTATTTCTTTTTTGTAAATATGATTATACATACATTTTAATTACATTTTAAATTTTGAATTTTATAATTTTTTTAATTTTAATTAAACTATTTTGTTATCTTAATTTTAATTTATAATTATTTTTACTGTACAATAATTATTTTTACTAATACACTTCTTAATTAGTTACTAATAATACTTTATCTAAATTTTCATATCTACAGTAATACACTTAAATTACATTGAATGAGTGGAGTAATAATAAAAAATAGTAATAATATGCTAATAAAACTTAGCTTTACAATAAAGAGCAAATCAATTGATTTGTTTATCCAATCAAATTTCTTGAATATGACTTTAGCAAAAATAATAAATTAAAATAAAATAAATTGCACATAAAAAGAATATAATACTCCCTTTGTACCAGTATCTATTTTTTCATTTTAGTCCGTCCCATAATAAAGTATCCATTTCCTTTCTTTAGTAACTGTACTTTCTACCTAACATTACCAATATCCTTACAATTTACAATATATTACACAAATGTCATTACCTTTATATCACACGTAATAATAAAGTTATTTTAGTCATTTCTACTTTATTCCTACTATATTTCAATATAATACTAATATTTCTAAAATTACTTGCAAAAAGCAAATAGATACTTAGTTTCAGAACGGATGGAGTAGAATATATAAATGTTGATTTAAGAAGTATTAAAGAAAAAAATAAATACTGTGAACTTTGTGAATGATTCAATACAATTAAATTTATATTTTAATAAGTATTAATTCATTTATACTATTTTTATATTTATTATTTTAATTAAAAAATTAATTTTAATAATTTTTTTAATAAATATATAATTTATTTTTAAAAATATATTAAAAAATTAACAAAATAATTAATTTATGGCTCAGGCGTGCATAGCAGGGCTGCCCAATAGTTTACATATATACACAATCTCATATTGAGGGGTATAAATGCCAATTTAAATGGCTATCAGTACCCCAAACCCTCGTACTAGTGTTTTGGTATATACATACATTCTACTTAAAAATATAATATTAACATAATAGTAATTATTATGATGAGTATGGCTACTGATTTCTTCAGCATTCTGACTTCCGTACCCACCGCTTGCTCGTTCCCGTGTCTCATCCTCGAGGGTTTCGCCCGCCCCCCGATTTCTTCGTTTCTTGCAACTAAATCTGAAATTAACGCCTTTTCTTGCACTGATGCAGCTCAATTTCTCGCTTTGATGAACGCCTGTTGACGTGGACTAGTCTGATTTTCTTTTGCTGGTGCTAAATTTGCAAGCGCAGCTACAGCACAGCTGAATTTGGAAGAAGTGGAGGAGAAAGTGGTAATGGAGCCCGAATTGGGCGCTGCAGTAAACTGTACGGTCGGATCTGGACTCGAATCGAGATCCGGCGAGCTCGAATCGGATGGTTCGGATTTGTTGCGCGATTGCTGCGTGCCGAGGGTCAGACCGACCGAGGCGGATGGCTTCGCCGTTTATACGAGGAGGAAGAAGCTGAAGAGCGAGGATGTTATCGGACTTTGGGACAAACTCCATGGCGGTTCTGGAAATTCAGGTGAAGTTGCGGTGGGAGTGAGTTCCAACGGTGGAGTTGCAGGTAATGGCGGCAAAGGCGATAATGTGGATAGAGTCGAGGGCACTTTAGGCATTTCGTGTCTTGCGGATGGGCTCGGAGCCGGTGAGGATCCGACGGTCGCTGATGGACGGAAGAGTGATGAATCAGGAATTGAGAACGGGAATTCTGGAGATTCTCAGGACACTGCTGGTTTCGATGAGCGTGGGAAAAAGACGACGGCGTCAGGTGGTCCGAAAACGAGGAAGATGGAGATGAAGATGTCTAAGAAAATTCTCGTCAAAGGGGGGCCGACAACTGTGAGGGAGCTTTTTGAAACTCAGTTGCTGGATGGGTACCCAGTCTTCTACAATGGCGGGAAAAGGGTATAATGCTTGATACCCAGCCATCATCTTTTTTCCTTTTTGGATTGCGTTGTTGCTATTATTTAAGGAATTTATGCTGTCACAGTTTCTATGGTGGGTTGGGTGGGTTGGTAGGAGTCTTAATAAGTCGGAGGCCAAATAAAAAATTGCTTTAATATGTATATTAGATAGAACTCAAGGTCGAATCAAAACATTTTTTGAGTCAGTTCTAGTCTGTACGATAAAAGTTCGAGTTGAATTAAAAGGTGAAATGCTCGTCTTGAATTAGGTGTGGTTGAGGTGTGTCAAACTTGATTAATCTCTAATCCCAAAAACTGAACTTTTATTTAGTGTTTGTGTTCATTGAAGGTGGATGTAAATATGATTTCACTGATGGATAAATGAATTGGTGATGAATGGAAGTTATTGCTGGTTCAAAAATCTTGTGCCGTAAATTCTAGCGTTGTAGTAAGGGTTGCCATCATATTTAGCACAAACCTGGATTCATGGAAGCAGGGATTTCTTAATCCTCTTCGGTACCTGCTTGGTCTTGTGGGGCTGCAAAGATAGGGGGCACTAGGTTGGATAATATTATGAAATACAAGTCTTATTAGCATGTTAGTGATTAATAAACCTGAGTTCTTGTTTGTTTGTTTAATGATGATTTTGAAAAAGCATTATATATGAATTCAGCTTAAATTGCTTTTAACTAGTTGCTATTCTCCTAGGGATTCCCACTACGCGGAATTATTCAGAAGTTTGGAATTCTGTGCTCATGCAGTGCTTGCAAGGGAGAAAAGGTGAGTGTTGAATGTTTTAAGGCTTTCTTTTCCACATGATTAATCACAGCAAACCTGTCTGTAACCTTAGCTTTCAGATAATTAGCACATAACACCCAGGATTTTGTCTTGTCTTTACTTTATACTCTAGGTGGTTCCGCCTTGCCAGTTTGAAATTCATGCCTGTAAATCATATAGACGGGCATCACAGTACATATGCTTTGAGAATGGGAAAAGCCTACTTGACGTGGTCAAAGAGTGCCGGAAATCATCAGCAAAGTCATTAGAAGAGACGATACAAAACTTTGTAGGTCCAATGCCTGAAAAGGAATCAGTCATTTGCCGGAATTGCAATGGTGAGCTTTAGTTGTTCCACAAAGTTCTTGAGGCATTTCTGCAAATCTAGTTTTGCATTATATCTTATTCCCTTTACAGGGTCATTTCTTGCAACATCTGTTTCGAAACTGGATCTGCTTTGTGATTCCTGCATGGTTATAATGAATTCAGAAGTTGATGCAGAAAGTCTGAAGTCGAGGTAATATGCTGCTCGACGTCACCCTCATCACTTGTGTTTGTTGGAGTTGACTTGTTTATTGGCTTTAATTTTCTTCAAGTTATGCATAGTTTACAGCTTACTGTAAATTTGAAGCATAACATAAGTGTGTTTATGTTGAATTGCATGCCTTCTTTCTATGCTTTAGTGGGCAACAATGCTTTTCTAGGTTTTATACTTCATTAAGCAAAGAAGTATCTAATGATATAATTGTATCTTTTTCAGGCCTTTGGAACCACTTTTGGGTTTAACAATGCCTGAAAATGGTGAAGTGCTTAACAGCCTGCAGCAAAAGAGTCGTCGAGGAAGGAAGAAAAGAAAGTCTGTATTTTGTTTGCTCTGAGAATTCTTTTCCTAGTCGCTGAACAAACAATATGTTACAACGTCATTTCCTTTACTTTTTTCAGGCATGCAGAGTTGAACGGCAATGCAAATTCACCAGCAACTTCCTCGATGCAGATTTCAAAACGAAAGAAAAGAAAATGGAAGATTACAAATTTGTGGGTTATGTTAACAATTTTATTTTTAAAGGGACTTGTTTCTCTGATGCTTTCAATGAGAACTGTATCTTGCAACTCTTTTGAGATATTTTCTCATTTGCTTATGTGTGCTTTTTTTCCCTTATATTAAGGGTGTCACAATCAGCTTCTGGTCCAATGCGGGGAAATGATAGTGAATTTTCACAGGACTCCTTGAAGAAGAAGACCCAGAGGAAGATATTAAAGTTGTTACATTTTGCATATATCTGTGCTTTACATTTCCTGACAATAAGAATGAAATGGCTAACTTCCTTGATAATATAATAAATACTATGTATAGGTTGTCAGATGATTCTTTCCTGTCGAAGATTGTAAGCAATGAATCTCCATCTGTTTCTTTGCAATCAAAAAATTCATCAAAGATGACTGCAAGGTTGGTATATCTATGATTTTATACCTGTCATAGTAAAATTTACCTGAAGGATGATGTTTGTATTTCGGTTCTGGTATATGAAAAATTATATTTGTTTCCTATTTCATTTACGTAGAGATCAGAAGATGCACAAGCTGATCTTTGAGAGTGGTGGATTGCCGGATGGAACTGAAGTTGCTTATTATTCTCGTGGCAAGGTTTGTCTAGAGATTTAATAATAAATGCATGTCTACTAATACTTTCTGAATGTTTTGGATCTTACTGTAGCTTAATTATTGGTTCTGTTTTTCATTTTCTAAATCTTGGTTCTTTTCCTACTCTAATAAAATCCACCGACTTTCCCATATATTTATATATATACACATATGCATACTGCATTTACAATTTTCTATTCCTGTACACTAATATATTGTTGTTCTTTATAGAAATTGCGCGATGGCTATAAATTGGGATCAGGAATAATTTGCTATTGCTGCAAAACTTTGGTGACTATTTTTATTTATCATGTAATATTATGTGGTTCTTTTGTCTGGCATTTTGAATTATTTTCATACTTTAATCAGGTTAGTCCATCTCAGTTTGAAGCTCATGCTGGCTGGGCTGCTCGCCACAAACCGTTAGTTTCTCTCCAATTCGGAGATTGTACTAATTCTTCCGTCTTTTCTGTTTCCACCTATAAGCAGTGCCTTCTTTTTCTCTATTTTCTCTTCCTGCAGCTATACGAATACATACACATCAGATGGGCAGTCTCTCCATGAATTTGCAAAGTGTTTGCTACAACGCCACAAGAGTTCCTCAAAAAAGAATAACACTATATGCTCCATTTGTGCAGATGGTGGGAAACTTGTATTTTGTGATAGTTGCCCTCGTTCTTTCCACAAAGGTAGGTCGACATCTATGCTTACCTATTTGTTAACCTAAAGCACTGTTCATTAGTTGAATATGTTTAGTCGCATTTTCTGGCTATGGATTACTTTTTACTTTTTCCTTTCCAAGTCAGAATGGTTGATTGCTTTAATTGCTTTTTAATTTGGCTAATGTTGTTTGTTTTACATTCTAAAGGACATTGTGTATATCAGTATAATAAACACATTAAGACCTCAATTGGTCTTGCATGTTGAAGTGATTAAAGAATGAAGCAAAGTTAACAATTGAATGGCATGCTATTGAAAATAATTATGATGTACGGTTTATTCTGTAATTGACCATCATGGAAAAATTATGCCTATTAAATCAGTTATATCTAATGATAATGTGTGTTATGTATGCCCATGTTATGCTGAAGAGTGTGCATCCTTGTCGAGCGTCCCTCGTGGTAAATGGCATTGCATCTATTGTCAGAATATATTTCAGAGGGAGAGGTATCTTGAGCAGAATGCCAATACCGTTGTGGCTGAAAGAGGTCTAGATACTGGTTCAGGAGAACAGATAACAAATCGCTGCACTCGCATTGCGAAGAACCAAGGAGACGAAGAAATAATAGCATGTGTGATTTGCAGGCAATGCTCATACATAAATTTTGCATCATTGATACCTAAAACTATAAGCTGGTTCTAGTTCAAATAAATTTAGACAACCAGTCCTGTTGCTGCTATCTGATTAATTAATGGACTTTTTCATTTACAGATGTGTTGGTTTTAGTAAATATGGATTTGGTCCACGCACTGTGATAGTGTGTGATCAGGTATTTTTCTTGGTCCATTGACATCTTTTTTGTTGGATTCCGAATTAACTCGCGCTGACTTGTTTGTTATTTCATGCCTTGCCAGTGTGAAAAGGAGTATCATGTGGGCTGTTTGAAAAAACACAAGTTGTATTTAAAGGTGTGCAGATTTAAACAGAAGGACTAGATACTTATATTTAGCAGCAGCAAGCTTTTCATTTCCCTTCAACTTTCTTGCATTTCTTGTTCTCAAAGTACATATGCACTTGTGGTGCAGGAACTTCCAGAAGGACAATGGTACTGCACCCAGGATTGCAAATGCATGTTTTCTGGTTTGCAGGATCTATTAAATTCTGGGGCACAGAAGCTCTCAGATTCTTCTTTGGATATAATAAAGAAAAAACTAGTAGAAAGCAATGGTTTTGGTGATGTTGGGTTTGATGTGAGATGGAGGCTTTTGAATGCAAAAGTTGCTTCTCGTGAAACAAGAGTATTGCTGTCACAGGCTGTAGCTGTATTGCATGTAAGATTTATTGCATTATATTACTCCTTTCAGTTTAAATTTGTTTATATATTCATAAACTTGACATAGATTAAGTCTACAACAGGAAATCATTAATCGTGTGAATAGGCTTTAATATGACATGTCTTGTTTCCAGCCTAGAATGTTCTTTTTGTGAAACCAAGTTCATTTCATTTATAGAATGCATATCTGTTGAAATTAGGCTTGTCATTTGATGTTGGGTTCTGATAGAACTTTGCGCTAGTGTGAAATTTGCATTGTTCCAAAATCATGCTAATGAAAATTTATTTTCTTGACTAATCAGATCATATTTGAGTGTTTTTAAAATCCATGTTTTTACGACCTGAAACTTTTAAGCTTTATATCAATGCATGTTTTGACTCCTTGGCCAGATCATGAGGTGTCTGTGGCTCCGCTGATGCCTCAGAAATTACATTTCTTTTTTGTCATATTCACACAATGGGAAGTATCTGCCATTATTAAAATTATTTGTTGATTTGTGTTCTAGGAATGTTTTGACCCTATTGTTGATCCGCAAACTGGCCGTGATTTCATTCCTTCAATGGTATATGGGTATGTGCACAACTTAGATCTTGTGGCAGGTTTATGTTTCTTGCAATTGTAATGACCATCTAGCTTTATCTGCTATTGTACCCTCCTACAGATCTCTCACCCTTTCTGATTCTCTCTCTTATCTCTCTCTCTGACAGGAGGAATATAAGGGGACAAGACTTCAGTGGAATGTATTGTGTAATGTTGATAGTGAAGTATGAACCACCTTGCATTTTTCTTTTTTTGTACAACAATTTTATCTTAGTCTCGCAATATATATGATTTTTTTTTTTTTTTTTTTCTTTGGCTGACAACTTATTCCCATCTTGCAGTTCAACTGTTGTATCAGCTGGGATCCTCCGGCTTTTTGGACAAGATATGGCGGAGCTCCCATTGGTTGGAACACGCACCAGCTATCAGGGCAAAGTAAGCTTTTCTGAATGATGTAAATAGTCATTCTATTACCGTAAAACTTGGCTTCACTAGTTACAAGAACTCTTGATACTGAAATCGAAAAAGTATTATAACCCATGGGCATACAACAGTTCATGGTTTAAATTCGGGCATCGGTAATTTAGGTAGCTCATACAAATGTCAGACGGAATTATTTTAGTAGCTACACCTTATTAGTTGTATCATGCTGTCCTCACAATATAGAACCTGTCTCCACAGGGATACTTCCAAGCCCTTTTCTCCTCCATCGAGAAAATACTTACAGATTTGAATGTCAAAAGGTTGGTTCTTCCTTCAACTGACAATTCAAAGTCTATATGGATAAACAAGTTCGGATTTGAAGAGATACCAGAAAAGCAGGTACACTAGTAACTGGTCTACACCAAGGTTTCTTTCTTGCTTTGCTGAAATAGAAAATTTAAAATTCTCAGCTCGCCATCCTTAACGCAGGTTGCTGAATACAAGATAACCTGCTGGCAGCTAACAACTTTCAAGGGATCACGCATGCTCCAAAAAGCAATTCCAAGCCGCCTTACTACCGATCACAATCAATCTGATTCCAGCATTCCCTTGCTGCAGCAGGCGTAGTTAAACACAATCCATTTTCATGAGCGTAAATAGCTTCTGCCTCCCTTCTACTATTACATCGTTCCTTTAAATTATTTCAACAGATACCTGAAACTGTTGTGTTGTAGCAAAATTTTAGTCGTATTTTAGTAGAGATTGTGATTGTCTTATCCTACTTTAGAGAAAAATGGTTAAAACACATGTCTGCCACCCCTGGCCAGTAACTTATTATTATTATGATAAATGAGGGAACCATGAATTCTTCTCATCTGGAGTTTGGCCTAGTTACGTCACATGTGTAAGTAACCTATTAGCTACGCTTAAAATAATAATAATAAGGTGTACATCGAATGTGAATGTGAAGTTGTGAAAACACATTTACCCATTTTGAGTTTAATTTCACTTACTGCCTCTAATTTTGACATTTTCACTGAGCTAATAGTAATAATGGGATGCTTCCTTGATCTCTACGTTTGTTTGAAGAAATGAAAATAATTGTGTGGTGATGGATTGATTGATTGTTTGGTATTGTTATGATTATTATAATTAATTTGTTTGAGCTGTTTTTGATTGTGGGAAATAGAAGACGTATGTCCATTTATATAATGTTTTCCAGTGGTCTAAGCATTGATTGAATGTGTTGTGATATGATATGATATGAGTTAGTTTTGTTTTGGAAGTGGGATTTGAGTGTGAAACTTGTCACTTTACCCAAAGGAGACAATAATTAAAGGACACAGCCAGCCAGCCACCCACCCTTGTGATGTAATTACACACTTTGATTGTGGAATTAGTTGCCCCGCCCCATTCATCAACCATGCTTTTTTTTCTCCTTCCTTACGCCACACACTCCACTACAGTAATAATGGATCGATCTATGTGATCAGTCCCTACAAGTTCGCATTTGTAACGTGTCAGAAGCTGATACATGTCCTGCGTCTAGGCTCAAGCTGGTCGTCTGTTGTGCGCAACAAGCTTGAGTATACTGAATAATGCGGGATAAATAAGGCAGGACGCGTACTTGCCCGTTGATTAGCCGTACAGTATTGGAGTTCTTACATATGGAACGGACTATGGCCGAAAACTTTAGTAGAAATGTCAGTTCGTAACACTCTCCTCTACTCAAAGTCGCAAATGCCCTCGTGCGATGCCACTTGAGTGCACTCGCCTCCTCGCCTTGGGATTCATTAGACTATTCTTATCAATAATATACACATATTTTATTTCATAGTTTACCCTAAAGAATTTTAGGGTGTTTGGTACGTATAATTAAATTGCTAGAATCTAATGGTAGAGAAAATGAATTGATTTGAAGTATAAGAGTTTGGTAAAATAAAGGATTCAATATTATCATATATCTATGCATCTATATACAAAAATGTATAAATTTATTATTTAAACAATATCAGATACAGGTTCATTTGATGATAATTGCAACAAAGGCCATATATCACCGCGTTGCGTATACCAGCATTTGAAATTAAAGAAAAAAAAAAGAAAAGTTTTAAAAATGATGTAAGACTGTCTCTCTCATTAGGATGATGATGAGCAAAATTCGAAGGTTTCTTGTAAAGAAAGAAAATGCGTTAGAAAACAAATTTGTGTTATTTATGAGAAGAAAATATGTGCTTTGAAATAGTATTGTTTTTTGTAAAATTGTTTGAAGTAGTTTCAGAATGAATGACTTTTTCGAAAAACCATTCAGAATATATGTAAATAAAGACAAATATGTGTGAAAAATACTGTTAAGTTTGTAGAAGAAATACTATTAAAATAGAGTTTGTTTGCTAAAAATTGCATTTCAATATATTTGAATTGAAAACAAATCAGTGAATAAAATACTATTAAATCTACTTTATAACCATCAAACCGCTAACATATATAGTTGAGGATCTATTTAGCATATTTCATATTTTACATTATATTTTACAATGACCAAAATGCACATCCTGTAGTTTCAACACTATTATAATAAAATATCATCACTTTTCTTAAAATAAATATTACATTAAAAAAAAAAAAAAAAAAAAAGAAGAAGAAGAAGAAAGAGGACGATGAGATACAGACTTGGCTTAGCGTGTGGCTTATGCAACCTCCCATTTGCTGCCCATAACACATAATATCGTCATCTTCTTCCTTCATTATGAACGTGTTTATCCCTTTATTATTTTTTGGTTTGAATTTTTTTAAATAATAAATTAAATATAATAATTTTATTAAAAAAAATTGAAACTTACACACTCTCTCCGTTTCCCTGAAACAAGCCATTTGAGGTTTCGTAATATATTAAAAAATAATATTTTCTTCGTGGTAAATACTCTAACATGGTAACACCCCGCAATATTTTATTTTTTTGTTTATTTTAAACTCACTGCAACATTTTTGAATTTAAAATAATTAATTATATATATATAACTTCACTTTTTCACATTATCTCACTCAAATAAAATAAATAAATATATCTCTCCAATCATACCATCCAATCTCTAAATTATTTCAAAATAATACTATCCATAACTCAAATGTTGCACGGTGTTTGAAACAGAGGAAGTAGTATTTTATTAGTGAGTGAAAGTGTATAAAATATTTTGATATTTTTGCCACGTGACTTTTTTATAAAGTAATTATACGTGTAATGGTAAAAAAAAGGATAAAGATATTATAAGTATGATGAGACCGAAGAAAATAATAAAAATGATACTTTATGATGGAGGGAGTACTTAAAAAAAAAAAAAGTATATAATAGATTTCTTTTTTAATATTTTGTTGCATTTCATAATTAATACTCTCTTCGTGCCAAGATAATAATAACATAATACTCCCTTCATCCCATAACAAGGTATTCATTTACCTTTTGCGTCATTGTATTTAACGTTAAAAATATCCTTATATTTGTATAATTTTTTATACAAATATCATTATATTAGTATTATAAGACACTAATAGAAATATTTTTGCAATTTTTTCTTGATTTGTAATACGTTTTGATATAATAATTAATATCCAAAGATCAACACGCAAAAAGTAAATAACTACTTAGTTATAGGACAAAAGGAGTATTTAATTAGTTAATAATATTAGTTATGATATTATTTTATTATTTTTTTATAATTAATAATAATGATATTTTTAAAATAAATTTAATATATATGATTAAAAAATTTAGAATATGTATTTAAATATTTTAAAAATTATATTGTAATAAAAAATATGTGCAATATGAATATCATTTTATAGAGATTCTTTTTCTATAATACAAGTAAATAAAAAAAATATTTTTATTTATTTTTAATTAACATAAACTAATTTATAAAAGAGATAGAGTTTAAAATGTAGATAAAAATCTTTGTTTTTGAGGAGATATATAAATAAAAGAATTTTGAGTGAGTCCCACGTGATTTATGATGTTATATGTTACGTATTTGATGTGATTTATTTAATTAAAATTTGATTTATGATATAATATATATAAGATTAAAAAATTCAAAAATGTGTATTTAATTATTTTAATGACTGTATTTAATATAATATACTCCCTCTGTCCGAACTAGTTTGTCCACTTTATCTGAGTCACAAACTTTTAGGTATTACGTAATAAATAAATAAGTCATTAAAAACTGTATTAATAAAAATAATTATGATAGAATAAAAATAATTATAAATTAAGATTAATATGATTAAATAATTTAATAAAATAAAAAATTATAAATTATAAATTTTAAAATGTGATTAAAATGTATAATTATATTTCTAAAAATATAAATATCAAATTACGTGGGACGAACCGAAATAGAAAGAGTGAACAAATTATATGGGACGGAGAGAATATATAATATGGATATTATTTTGTAGATAATAAATTTTTATATAATAAAAATTATTACAAAATAAAAAATAGATAAATTAATATTTACAAATAAATAGAGAATTTATTTATTGAAGAGAAAGAGAAAAAAAAAATTGAATAAATTTTGAATGGATATATAATACTCCCTCCGTCCCAAAAGTACGAGATTTAAGAAATATTGATATTATATTGGTAGTTGGTAAAAAATAAAGATAAATGAGTTTTTTGCCCTTGCAAGTATATTAGTGTAAAAAGTAATGGCAATTGTGTAATAATAATGAAAAAATAGAGATAATTTTATGGTGATATAATTATTTATGAAAATCAGACTATTGCTTTAGGACGGACAAAAACGGTAAACAAGACTATTGTATTAGGACGAAGAGAGTATAATATTAGTAGTTGTTACGCACAAATAATAATAATAATAAAAATAAAAATAAGGATAGCAGGATCTTAAAGAAAGTTAGACACGAAGTCGGGTGGAAAAAGAGAAAAATTTGCGCTCAGGTCGGTTGGTCCTCGGTCAGTTGGTCTGGTCGGTTGGTCCTCGGTCGGATCGGCAGGTCGGAAAGTCTGCGGTCGGATAGGCAGGTCGGTTGGTCCTCGGTCGGTTGGTCCGGTCGGTTGGTTCGCAGGTTGGAAGGTCCGCAGGTCGGATAGTTGCGAGTTGGACGGTACGCAAGTCGGATAGTCTGCGAGTCGGACGGTCTACAGGTCGGACGGTCCGCAGGTCGGAAGATCCGCAGGTCGGATAGTCAGTAGGTCAGATCAATAAGTCGGATGGTCTGCAAGTCGGGAGGTTTGCGGCTGGAACAACAAGTCGGAAGGTCTGCGGTCCGACCAACAAGTCGCTTGGTTGGGGCGACCAAAAATCGTTTGGTCTAGCGACCAGTTAGTCTCTAGAATGGTCGGATGGGCCAGTTGAGTTCTGGAACTGGTGGAAACATTTGGCGAGATGGTGTAAGACACGTGTCAATGAAGGAAGATTTAGTGGGCGGTTGCTGTAACCAACCAGGCGAAGGTTCTGAAACGTTTTTTTGAAGGAATATTTAAGGATGTGGATTTTTTATCTTCAATCATCTTCAATCGACATCAAAGTCAAGAGATTCAGGGATCATCATTTAAATTTTCAGCATTTTAATTTCCAGTTAAATTTCTTATGTACCGTACAGTGTTTAGAGATTCCTAATTTCAGGCATTAATTAATCAAGTTCGAAGATAAATTCCTATTTTTGAATTTTACTTTTTGTTTGTTGAAAAAATACATTAGTATTAACCGGTTGTGAGATGTCAACCAAACATACCCAATTTTTAATTTTAGAGTAAAAAATAAAACTCTTAATACTGTACAACTTAGAAATAAAATTCTCAACTTCGTTAGATATCATAAATAAAACTCTCAATCTCCTTAGAGTTTAAAACAAGACGATCTAACGATGAATATAAAAATTGAAAGTAAAAAATAATATTGATGAAAAACAAATATTATTGACAAACAACAGCATACATACTTGAGGATCTCGAAATAAAAAGACTTTTGGATATTATAAATTAAATGTACTTAAAAAAAAAATAGTGTGTTACATCAAAATTATATATTATTAATAAATTTGAATGTACTTAAAATAAATATATTGTGTTATACCAAAAATATATATAATTAATAAATAGATCGTTCCGTAACTGTACTAGGGTGTGAAGTTAACTTGTGAAAATAAGATTATGTTTACTTAGCATTTTTTAATAGAACAATATTTTATAAATATTATTAAAAATATAAAATATAAACAAGTTAATATAATTATTCATTTTTTAATATAAAATATTTTTTTTATACTTTAAATAAAAAATCAATTCATTTAAAAATATTGAATGAACAAACTGATTTAATAATAATAATAATAATAATAATAAGCATGTAGTATAATCAATATAATTAAATATAGAAAATCTGTAGACAATCTCAAAGCAAGCAGAATGTGTATTTGTTAATTTCAATAATTATTTCCCATTCCCCTTCCGACCACAGGCACAACAATAATCACTCTCTCTGCCCATCACTTTTCTTACAACCTACGTCACCCGCACCCCCTATAAACAGCCCCCTAACCCCACCCCCCAGCACCCACCATGACCCTCAAGAACTCAGCTCTCTTATGGCTCACCGCCATAGCCATTCTCTTCCTCTCCATTGCTCTCTCTCTCCTCCCCTCTCACTCCTCCATTCAAGCCTTCCACAATGTCGCAGCTAAGCTTCGCCTCCACCACATCTTCCATGGCATCAATTATTTCTACACAAAACCCCACCACCACCACCACCACCACCACCACCGCCGCCGGCGCCGCCGCCGCGGATCGTGCGAAGCCCTGAGGAAATCGAGCCTCATATCTCTGTACAACGTGAGCACAGTCTACACGGTGGTGGCCAGCGGCGGCAAGTGCGCGAATTTTAGCAGCGTCCAGAAAGCGGTGGATGCTTTGCCGGATTTCAGCGATTCCTGGACACTCATTGTAATTGATTCAGGCACTTATAGGTAAAAAGTAGTAATTCAACTATATCTAGATAGATAATCCAAATTCTCTTTTTTCTTCCTTAAATTACCATTTATGGAAGGGAAGGACTACTGGATCATAATAATAATAATGATAAATTTGTTTGTGTGTACGTACGTAGGGAAAAGGTGGTGGTGAGCCCTAACAAGACGAAGGTGATAATGCAAGGGCAGGGATACCTCAAGACTGCTATAGCATGGAATGACACAGCCAATTCTACAGGAACAACTGCCCTCACTTACACCTTTGCAGCTCTGCCTCCTAATTTCCTTGCCTATAACATCAGCTTTGTGGTATTTTAATTTTATTCATTCTCCTAATTAATGCAGTATTTATTTATGCTATTTCCTCTTTTTAATATTTCTCTGAAGAATCAAGGTTTCATTTTTCTTTTTTTATTATATAATTATTGTAATTTTTTATTTTTATTTTTATTTTTTTTATAAAAATTAACATAGTACTTTCTCTGTTCTAATTAAGTTGATATTTTTTTTTTTGTTTGTGGCACTGTATTTAAAATAGTGAAGTTTACTATAGAAATTAATGATAGTAATACATAATACTAGTTTTTATTTATTTATTTATGTAAGTAATGATATTAATATTTTTAAAATAAAATTAATATATATATGTATATATAATTAAAAAAATTTAGAATATATATTTTAAATATTTTAAACCCTATATCGAAGTAAAGTGTAATTTTATTTTGTAGGAATTAAATAATTTATTTTATTTATTTATAATTAATATAAACTAATTTTTTAAAAAATATTAGAAGTTTTAAATGTAAAAATAAATACTTATTTATTGAGGAGAGATAAAAAAAATAAAAATTTCTGAGTGAGTTCTATGATATTAAATTGATTGATGAAAGATGAAAATACATTTTTTTCTTGTAAGTTTACATATAATATATTAGCAATTTAATATTGATAAATTTATGTGCCAGTCAAATATTCACATTTGTTAATAGTAGTCAAAACTAAAATACTAAACCATCAAATACTCTTTATGTGCCATCAAATGTCTACATTTGTTTTATTTTGTAGCAAATTGAAAAACATTGCTACTACTATTTTATTGGTAAGTAGAGTATTTAAGGGTATCTTGAAAAGTTTGTCATTAATACTTTATGTATAAAATAATGATATACATAATAATATATTTGTAATTTATGTAAAAATTTAAAATATTTTTAGTATAATAGAAATGTATAATTTTGGATGTCAAAACGAAAATGAAAAATATATTGTTTTGAGTGTTAGTTGATATATTTTAGATATTCAATTTTAGATTTAGTAGATTTATATCTAGATTTGATCTTATTAGTAGATTAGATTACTTAGATTTGAGTCTATCGAGTCTGTTTTATATTGTCTAAATATAAGCTTCTTATTTTGATGATCAATAACACAATCTTATTATTTTCTCCCAAAATTTCTAAGAAGTGTGATAGAAGTCCTACTTTATTGATGTATGTAACTCTACTATATTTAGTTTTGTAGTTAATACTAGCACTAAGTTGAAAGGCGAATTAGTTTTTCCTTTTTCATTTGTGTGTTTAAATGTCTGTTAAGTTTTGTTAATTTATTTTAAAAGTTACTTAATTTAGGAGTTTGTTAATAAGGAGACAATTGGTAATGCTTATTAGCACTCAAAACACTTTTTCATTACTTCTGTTTTTAAACTTTATTAAATTTTAATTGTTTATGATTAAATTATTAAGTTTCTATTAAGATTTTTAAAATTTTAAAATATTGCTAATAGATAAAGAAAATATCTATAAAAACACCTGTGTAAACTGAGTCATATTTGTTCAAAGACACATTGTTAAATTTATATAAATGTATTTGGGTACATGATTAAAAAATAATGATATTTTAATAAGTGAGGTATGAAAAGAAAAAAAAAAAGTATTATGAAAAAATTATTAAAGAATTAAGTAAAAATAATGAGATAAATAGTAAAAATAAATAAGTTATTATTTATTAAAATAATAATATTATTATCAATAAATAAAGTATGTTATTATATATAAATAAGTTATGTATAAGTCTAACGAGAAAAAAAAAAAAAAGTAGAAAGACGGAATGAATGTGATAATTAATTAATGTGTAGAACAGCGCGGGAGCACCTGATCCGGGGGCGGTGGGAGGACAGGCGATAGCACTGAAGGTTTCCGGCGACCAATCAGCGTTCTACGGCTGCGGGTTTTACGGCGAGCAAGACACCCTCAATGACGACCGCGGCCGCCATTATTACAAAGATTGCTTTATCCAGGGCTCCATCGACTTCATCTTCGGGAATGCCAGATCCCTATTCCACGACTGCCGGATCAATTCCACCGCCAAAGACCTCCCCTCCGGCGGCGGCGTCGGCGGCAGCATCACCGCCCACGGGCGCGACTCCGCCGCTGAGAATTCTGGATTCTCTTTCGTCAATTGCAGCATCTCCGGCTCCGGCCAGGTCTGGCTCGGCCGGGCTTGGGGCCACTACGCCACCGCCGTTTTCTCCCGGACGTACATGTCCTCCGCCGTCGCCGCCGACGGCTGGAACGACTGGCGCGACTCCTCCCGTGACCGGTATGTATGTGTATCGTCATTTCATTATTTACACGAAATTATATATATATTGAAATTAGAGTGTTTATTAAGATTGTTGGGGTAAAATTATACATACAACATATATATATATATATATATACCATAACTGATTTTAGCATATGCACATGTCAACACAATACAATTGCATATTATTGAATTGACAAGGATGCTGTCTTATGAATTCCAAATATATTAAGACTGATCAACACTTCATATTTTACACCCTCTTTATATATTGAAAATGCTATCTCAGCTTTATATGTATATCTAAATATAGTAGATTAAGAAAATAATATACGGATGAGTGAGCTTGTACAAGATAGAAAAGCTCAAATACCCTTTGGTTTAATTAAAAGTGCAATGTGATATGATATTAGGGTTAATAGAAGATCACCATAGATTATAAATAGAAAAGAAAAGATTATTTAGGTGTCACGGTTAAATAGAAAGGAAGATATGCTTTTTCTTTTATTTAATTAAATATTGATTTTGTGCAAATAAATAATATATTTTTAGTATGAATTGTGAAAGTTGAATTCTAAAAACAGTATTTAGAAATGGTAAAAAACAGTTAACTGAATGTAAATGGAGTATGATTTTCTTCTTGATTGGATCTCATCTCAGAACGGTGACATTTGGGGAGTTTGAGAACTACGGGCCAGGAGCAAATTATACATACCGAGTGGGGTACGCCAAGCAGCTGAAGGAATCGGAGGCGGAGCCATACATGAATATTTCTTACATAGATGGAGAAGAGTGGCTGCTTCTGCAGCCTGATGCTGAAGAATCCTCCGACCAATCCTTAATTAACGACGACGACGACGACTTCCTCTTCCTAGGTTTAGCAGAAGACGACGATGATTATGCTGCATCTTCGTCTATCCAGACTTACTGATTGATCATATTCATAGACAAACACATAACATATATATATATATATATATTAATTCTTTCTTGTGATTAATTACTAATAGTGCGTAGTTCCTGCAGGCTGATCTCGATTATATATATACACAACTTCTCATATACATACGTATTCGTATATGACGATATTATTAATTACAAGTACGTATAGCATATTGTAATGTATTTGTATACACTGTATGATAGAATGATGAGCTACTAGTATTCAGTTTCAAAATAAAGGGATTGTTTTATTGTGTTTTAAGAGTGTGTTTGCAGTGTTTTCATCTTAAAAATATATAAAATATAATATATATATATATATACATTCAACAATAAAAGATTAAAAATTAACAAAAATACACGAAATATTAATTTTTTATGAAAGAAAATCAGTGAAAAAAATAAAAAATTATATTAGTTATTTTCTTTTCTCTGTTTTGATCGGATATATTAGTTCACTTTGATGAAACAATTGATTACACTTCCAATCATATAAAAATTCCGCGGGATCAGGTGAGAACGGTGGTCAAGAATTTGATGGAGGAGACTACGGCAGCCGTCGAGAGGCGGAGATAATTGGAGCTGGTGGGAGCGTAGGAGGAAAGGGACTCGTTGTATAGCTGGAAAAGATAAACACGATCGAAAATCCGACATGATGAAATAAGTATTTGGACCTCAAAATTAGACTTAAAATTTTTGAATCGAGTTAGTCGGGCACGATTGAAAATCCGGGCCTTGTCTGAGCCTGTGCAAACCGACCGATGGTCCGACACAATTTATCAAATAGTAAATTTTAAGTTTAAATATTTTTTAAATATATAATGATAGTAGGATTAATTATATATTTAATATTTTAATATATTAATTATCACAGACTTACTCAAAATCTTTTTTATTTTTATATATTTTTTTAATTAACAAATATTTTTATTTATCTTTAAAATTCTCTATTTTTTTTATAAAATTAATTTATAGTAATGACAAATAAATAAATATATATTTTTATTTATTTGAATTATATAAAATTTTATTTTCTACAAAATGATATTCATATTGTATATATTTTATTGAGATATAATGTTAAAAATATTTAAACACATATTTTAAAATTTTTTTAATCATTAAATAAGTAATTCCCACTATCTAAAAAATTAATTTATACTACCTAAATTCCTGTACTCAAACAAAAGACTTCATCTTTACCGGGATGGACAAAGTATATTTTAGTTTTAATGAAAAAATTATGCAAAAAATATCTCAAAAAATTTTAAAATTATGGATGGCGTATTTTACCGAACCAAAATATATCTACTTATACTGCATACTATACTGAACATATAAGTATGGTAGGAACGTACGGTACCCTTTCATTATACCATTATTTCGGAAATTTTTAATTTTTGATATTTTCCGTATAATATCCATATATAGCAGTTATACCAAAATATATTTTTAAAATATTTGAAAAATATCCTTTACCCCCTCACCCAAAGAACATTAAAATGACGGCAACAGCGACCATCTATTGTTATATTGAAGAGAGAAAATGAAAATAAAGAGAGTTTTGAATGGAAGGTTTGAAATTTTTAACTTTTGTCAACTATTCAAGTTTAATGAATACGTAATTTACAGTATTTTTTGTATGTAAATACTCTCCATAACTGGTAATTTTAGTATATATGGGTCGACACGAGAATAAAAAAAAAAGTAAATATTTTATTAGAAAGTATTAAAATATAAAAAAGTATTTGGAGTTATTTATGAATTTTATTTTTATTTTTTTAAAAATGATGTGCAATAATAGTGATATTTGTTGTAAGTAAATATTGAAGAGTCATAATTAAATATCTATATTTTGAATTTGTTAAAATTAATAATAAGATAAATTTAACGAACAAAGAAAAAAAAAAAGAGAATATATTTAATGAACAAAGGAAGTACTATTTTTTTATTGTGTTTTAATTTGATATAATAATACCAATGTAAATAATTGTAAATTTGAAGGTATTTGTAGTAATAGATTTCATATTTACTAAAAAATTAATAATTTGTATTTGAAAAACTTTAAAGAACAAAATTGTAACATTTCAATTTCCAGGTAAACAAAAAAATATGTTATTATAAATAGATATAAAAATAGACAGTTAAAAACACAATCAAACAAATAATATATTTTTATTTTGACACTTTACAATTTTGATAATTTTTAATGTATATTGTATAAAATAAAAAGTACGTTATTCAACAACCCTGCATGTCGGAGATTTTGTCTAGTACATATATAAACTGTAAAGGCTAAGCTTATCCTAAATATATTCGCTAGGTTGGGTAAACTAAGTAAGAACTCAAATCTTAAATAACCTAAGAGAAAAAATAGAAGTGTGAGTGTTGAGTATCTTAAATCTCGACCCCAAACTCATTCCTTGAATTTTCAATCATCCATAGAATGCTTTATCCAAATGAAAAAAAAAATAGTAGCAAAAGTTATCCAATCTACCACTTCTCACTAGCTCTTTGATCCAACATCAAATGTGTCATTCCTAAGACGTACATACCAATCAATCGTATCGGTCATATTCTTGATTTGGGATGTGAAAATGAGTAATACTTCCTAGCACGGGAGAAAGAATTGTTAATATTGATTGAGTTTGATGAACATATATGCGTATGTATAGTTAAGTAATAATAATATTTGAATATTAATATGCATGCATTGAATATGTATAAGTTAGCGCAAACATAGATGATAATTAAGAGAGGAAGATTAACATCATCTCCAACTCATTATTTTATTTTTGCAGCAGTTATAGTAAAAATATAGTTGATTTACAATAATTTTATTCCAATCAAAAACTTTAATTTTTACTGTAAAAAGTATATTACATATATATTGATCTTTTATATTATTTTATATATTTTTTCATATTTAAAATTACACCCAACTAGTGGTGTGTTCTTTTTGTGAAATTTCAAAAAAAATCAATATATTATACATATTCATTATTTTCATATCATCTACACAATTTTCTATATGTCACATAAAAAAAATTACCCTTCAAACTATTTTACAACACAGACACAATTTTTACATTATCATCCAAAAATATATAATTCATATTTTATTTAAAATTACATATATTACAAATAGCATTTATAATTAAAAAGCATTACAAATAAAATAACTTTAAATAAATAATTAAATGCTATCAAACCAAATATGAAAAAATAAAATTATATATTATTTTTTTAAGAAATAAAATTATACAACATCAATAAAATAATAAAATTACAAAAAAAAAAACCTCCAATTTTTTTAAATGGAGTTAAACTACAGTGTTAAATGAAGTAACATTGTAGCTAAATCCATTTATGGAGTTAGAAATGAGATTGAGTTGAAGCCAAACCTCCAAAATCAACACAACTCACTGCATTTGAAGATGAGCTAATGGATTGGTTGAGAGCGAATCAATATTTTCCCAAATTACGGATGAATATGTAGTTGCTTGTAATGCTTACGTTTATGATACGTAGTCATACAATACTCTTCCCCTCCCCTTGATGCTATTATACAGAGAATATGTCTCGCTAAAACTTTTTTAGAAAAAAATCATATCGGAAAAAAAAATGTAATGAAAAAAAAAATATTATCAACATTTTTCTGCTTATTTTCTATTTTGTTTATTTCAGATCTTTTAATTGATACATGTCAATTCTTTTAGCAATTTTTCAAATGTTGTAGTCGATAATACTTTGGTTAATATATTTGCTAATTATTATATGATCAAATTTATTGCACATCAATTTCACAATTCGTTTGAAGATCATGAGTGATTTTTTTTATTGGTGATATATATTTTGCTCTATCTTCTTTAATGTTACTTCATTTTTAATTGGACTATACAAGCCTTATGATCTTCATACATAATAGTCATGAACATTTTATCTTCAGGTATTAACCTACAATTTTTTTATAATATGTTGAGTCATCGATCTCAATCAAACATAATTTTTATTAGCTTCATGCATCACCAATATTTCAGGATAATTTGAAGAAGTGGCAATTAGTGCTTGTTTCATCGATCTCCAAGAGATCGCAGTTTCATTATAATTAAATATATAGTCAGTTTGAGACTTGACTTTATAAGAATCAGACAAATATTCTGCATCGGCAAAACCAATTAAGTAGTATACAGAGTATTTCGAGTAAAATAACCTGAGATCAATTGTTCCTTAGAGATAATAAAAATTGTTTTTAATCCCAATTAAAATGTCATCGAGTAGGCGATGGGTTAAATCTTGTCAATAAATTTACAATAAATAATATGTCAGGTCAGGTGTTGTTGAAAAGATATATCAATGTGCCTATAGCACTCAAATATAACATTCTGAGCCAAGTATTTATTTAATTTTCTATGTAGGTTTAAATGGATCATTTACTGGATCAAGTACTTTGATGAGCATCGGGTTACTTAGCGAATATGATTTATCCATTAGAAATTATTTTAATACCCTTTTCGTATAATTTATTTGGTGGTAAATATCTCACATTCTAAATGTTCAATTTACAAACCAAAGGAAATTTTGGGTTTTCCAATGTTTTTGATCTCAAACTTTTTTTTTTCAAATATTGAATAGCTTTCTAAGTTTCATAAAAAATTTCAATTATGTTGAGATTATTGACATATACAACGATGATTACAAATCCTGACTCATTTTTCTTTATGAAACACATGGACAAATAGAATCATTTATGTAACTTTTTTTTTAAAGATTTCATTGAGACAATTGTACCACATACAACTAAATTGCTTGAGCTCATAAAAAGATTTATGCAATTTGATGAGTTATGATTCTTTTGGTTCAGATATGTTAAATCCTTATGGGATATTAATGTAGAAATTATTGTCTAAAAATCTATAAAGATAGACAGTAATCCATCTACTAATCGCATATAAAAGTTTTCATGTATTGTTAGACTCACCAAATATCTGAATGTTCTCCCATCTATGACCAAAGAATATGAAAACAATAGATTTTAAAGACAATGCTCACAATACTCACACAATTGGATTTCATGGAAACATGTGATGCACGACATCGAGTTTATCAGTAAATGGGAGGGGCATCTGAGGAAGCGTCATACCAAATTGAGAAGCAAATGACGGAACCCATTAGGGGGCAACCAATACATAATGATATTTCGCCATCTAGTGATAATCCTGATGACAAGAGATCGATCACATCTATTTGGAGGACAATGGT